TCAACTATTAATTAAATTTATTTATTTAACACTGATACTAAAATTAATATTAAATTTTATATTTTTTACACATATTTATAATGAAAAATATACTTAATCTATATTTTATGAGTATATATTAAAAAAATTTATAAATAAAAGAGGGTAAAATGGTAATCCAAACGTGTCTCTGGAATTTCATGCTACTAACATTTTACGTAAAAAAAAGAAAATGGAAAAAGTTTCTCCTTTGGATTTGACTTTCGAAAAAGTCAACGGCGCGAAATGTGCTGGCTGTGCAGCGCAGAAATGGTAATTAGAGAGGGCGAAGGTATCGGCCAACTTTGCTCCCAATTTGGTGCTGTAAGATTGGACCAAAAATCCTTCCAAATTTAGGACGGATTCGAATACCCAAGAATTATGCCTCTTTCCTCTTTTCTTTCTGGGTGCAATCAAACAATATGGAGATCATCATCATCATCAACCCCTGGCCCCCCGACACTCCCCTCTCTTCAATATGCAAGCTTTTTCTATGGTTCCCAAATCCTCTGAGATGGGTATTTGTTAATTTCATTTGGGGCCCTAGAAATTGCTTCCATTCTTCCCAGCAATTTCATGTTCAACTTCACAGGTACAGTTTCTCTTCATTTTCTTGCCCCTTTTCATTTGTTGTGTGTTTCTGTACCATTATGGCTTGTGGGTATTAAGGTGATAGGAAAAGAAGAAATCTTGTCGAGTGTTGTGATGTAAAAGATCAAAGGATGGTACATTTTTCTCTGGCCTGTGAATTGATTTCTTTTCCTTTTATTTTATTTTTTACAATTTCTAGTAACAAAATGCACAATTTTCAGAACTGTTTAGTGGGTCTTTTTTTAAGGGAAATCTCCTAACTTTTGAGTTTTTGTGAAATTGTGCTCTAAACAGACAGCATATGTATAATTGTTGTTTAACAGGTACCTTCTCCGTAAGTTGTCTTCGGTATCAGCCTAATGGGGTTGAAACTAACGAAACCGGCGCCAGGAAAGACTGGAAACCCAACTATACTCCTCCAGAACCGAATGATCACATACCTTACCTCAAGTGTTATTATCCGCAACTTGGTTTCCAAGAAGAGGAGGAGAATGCTTGTTGGTGGTTACGATCTTGACATGTCATACATCACAGATCGTATATTGGCAATGTCATTTCCTGCAGAACGTATGCGAGCTATGTATCGTAATCCTCTCTGGCAGGTTAAGTCTGTCCTGGAAATGAGGCATCACGGGCATTACAAGGTATATTCTTTCATCAATAAATTTACAGTTGCATGCCATGCTTGCACATCTTTTACAATCAGCTCGATTCTGATTTTTAAACTTTACAAATGTGGTTATAAATTTATGTTTTCTTTCTGGATTTGTTTGGAACTTTAAGCATGAATTTGGAGCCAACTATCTTTCTTTTCCTGAATCCTGTGCAACAGTAGAAGCAGGAGACTAGGCAGCAGTTAATTGGTAAATGAAAACAGAGTTATGCTTGCCTTGTTTGGAACATCTTATAATGCTGCTATTGATGATGATGTAGCATAAATACTGCTTCCTTTTTCATGAACCCAATTATTGGTTGTACCAATTTCGTTATGCAAGTTATCCCTTCTCCAACCCCCTCTTTGCATTTCAGATTTGCTCTAGGTAGTGGAAACTGTTACCAAGGTTTAGTTAAGGTGATTTCCTTACAGTTTGAGTTGTTCTTTAGTTTTTAGTCAATGCCAATTATCTCTGGCAATAAAAAAAATCCAACAATGTAAGTTCAAAGAATAGTTAGTGATAATAAATGTGATGGTTCACAAACATACTTCATTTGACTCTTCCTCTATTTGGATTGATTAGTTTACAGTTTGTTCTTGTCACAAAATGGATTAGTGAGAGATATAAATTTTCCCCTAAAGAGTTCTGTCTGAGAACTGAGAAGAATGTTTGTTCCCTCTTAGTTACATTGTTTATGTCTTGACTTTTATTCTACAAAAGGTGTGTCTAATATTTTCTTTGTTGAATTTCACAGATATACAATCTGTGTATAGAAGAAAACTATGATGCATCACATTTCCAAGGTCGTGTGGAAATGTACCCATTTGATGATAACCATGTCCCATCTATTGAAATGATCAAGTCATTCTGCGAGAGTGTGCATTCGTGGCTATCAAACAACCCAAAAAATATTGCAGTTGTACATTGCATGGTATAACTATCAGTTTTTCCGTCTAATAGTTTCTGTTGTTTTAACCTTATTCCTTCTGACCTTGGTGTTTTTAACCTGAATTTCACAGGCTGGGAAAGGTAGAACAGGTTTAATGGTATGTTCCTACCTTGTTTATACTGGCATGTCAGCACAGGATGCTCTTCAGTTATATGCCCACAAACGGACTACCAACAACGAAGGGGTATGTAGTATTAGTCATAGAAAGAGAATATATGATTGTGCTATTGATGTTCTAACAGGTGATAAATAGTGCTATATTGGCACTGGTAATTGGTTGTTTGGGGTATGTGCCACGTATTGGGTTCAAAACCATGCAACTGCCCACCCAAAAATGACTTGATCAATAAAACAAAGAAAAAACTAACGCTATATTGGCCATTTGCTACCTAGAAAATCTGCCTACTTTTACCTTTCCAATTATCTCTTCATTAATTAGCATTCTCTAGTGGAATGATCTTACCCACTATTGTTCTTGATTTTGTTTGATTTTTATTGTAATTCATGTTTACATCATTTATTTTGCTGCTGAACAGGTCTCTATACCGAGCCAATGCCGTTATGTGGGGTATTGGGCCAGTGTTCTTTCTGTTCCTAGAGGAATTTCTGATGTACCACCAGATGTCAAATTGCCTCCAAAATGCAGCAGAGAATTGAGGCGGATTCGGCTTTATGACTCAGTAAATACCACCTCTGTCTTCTTTGTGGTTGCAATGCTGCAAGAGGTTAGGCTATGCCAATTAGTTAATTATGCATATTGCTTCACGCTCATGAATCTTTGTTTTCATACTGTTGCTGAATATCTCTATTGCTGACTAAATATCATATACTTAATCAGGAGAAATGAGAAGTAACATTTATACTTATTTTCACAATTTGAATATACATTATCTGCTATGGTTCTTGATCAATACTCACTTTAAAGCTTAATAAATGCTCTACTTGAGAAAAGGGTTAGTCACAAAATTATTTCACAAATTATCTCCTCAGTTGTTAAACTTTACAGTATAAGTCTCAAACTTTTTAAACGGCTAGTAAGTTGTTTTACACTTACGAAGTTTAAAACAAGTCTTCCACTTTGTTTAATGTGCAGCTGGTAACATTTAATAAGTCTTCCTTCAAGTTCTGTAAAATGCACAGCACAATCATGAACTCTTCCTCTTTGTGCAATTTTTGATTTTTTTTGACAATGTTTGAAAGAAAATTAAATTAAAAAGAGAGACAGAGAGAGAAAATGCCCAATGCCCAGCACTCAGTGCCTTCTGCTACACTGGTTTTAATGTTGGAAGATTGTCCTTGATTAGTGGAACATCCCTAATTTGCTCTCAACATCCTTCTTTACCTTTTCCTTGCCAATCTGGCTTTGTTCTTATTTTCATCAACTAATAAGTAATTTTGACCTTTGTTCAAAACAGATTCCTAATCAGTCATACCGTCCAGCTGTGGAAGTTTTCAGGGGTTGCTGCCACGAAATTAAGAAGGGTTATCAAAGAACAGAAAGTCCTAGGTACTACTTATCATTTGTTGAAGGTGATGAAGGGAAAAATGCAGAATTAGAAGAACCTCATGTCGTAGTACAGATGGATACAGAGAGCTCCATGTTATACCAGAAGACCTGTCTTGACTATCACTTCAATAAACCTGTCCAAGTAAGTTAATTGAAAATATGCATGCTCTTGACCTAATTCATCTGCTTTGCATGATTAAGATATAGATTTCTACTTTTGCCGACTGCCAAGATACAAGTTTGACCAAAGTTGTCCTACAAAATTACATGGAAATTCATTCAGGTCTCTATCATTGCGTATGTATAATTTTCATTTGGAATCTGCTTTATGAAATGGCTGTCCTCATTGAAACATTTCTAGATTCTGGGTTGCATACCGTCATTAAGTTTAAATGCTTCATTGTTCAGTACCAACTCCTAAGTCCATCCTGCTGGTTTCAACAGGTCAGTGGGGATGTGCGTGTCATATTCTATCAAAAAATGATTGGAAGCCGTCTTTTCTATTGCTGCTTCAATACAGCTTTCATAAAAAACAGCTTGCTACAGGTAAGTTCATGGCTTCCTTCAACAATAATCAAGGAAGACTGTTTATAGAAAACAAGAAAATCATTAGTGATTCAGTTCCAGAAGTGATGATTTATGCATATTTAACTTTGTTTTATGTTTAACCTTGCAGTTTTCAATGCGGGATTTAGACAAAGTTGGAAAACAGGGTAGATCAGTGTGTGGCCCTGCCTTCTGCGTGGAGTTACTGTTTGGTCCTGCTAATCCAGAGCCCTCATTGTTGCCTACATCTGATGATGAGGATTATTGACAGATTTTTGTTCTGAAATCTAAAGCCAAAGATTGATTTAAAAAAAAGAAAAGAAAAGAAAAGCACACGTAACATGGGTCAAGGTAGAAATTTTTTGTATGAACACGTCTCCTTCTACTGATTTTCTCACTCAAAATGGCCCATTCTGGAACCCAAGTAATGATACAAACAGCTCGCAAACTGATTTGTTCTGTGCTCTTGCCGGCTAGTTTTTCATCGCGGGTGAGGTACTAGGAAATGAGAATGAGTTTTTGTACTCCAAATCACACCATTCAAGAGGTCGTGGTTTCGGTAGCAAATGTTTGTTTTGTGTATCTTGATTGCCTAACTGGGAAGAAAAAGAACGTATCTACAATATTTTTGCAATATCAATGCATCCCGATTTATAAGTAGTCTCATCATAGTTTTCTGAGTAAAGGCTGAAATAGGGATGTTAATTTTATAATTTTTTTTATTTAAAGATATTATTTTTATTTATTTTTAAATAAGGATGTCAATTTTTAACTTTTTTTATCTAAGAATATTAATTTTTAATTTTTTCTATTTAAGGATGCTAACTTTCAACATTTCGATTAAAAAATTTATTTGTCACATTAACATTATTATCCAATTAATTTTTAAATAGAAAAATTCAAAATTAATATCTTTAAATAAAAAAATTTGAAAGTTAATATCTTTAAATAGAAAAAAATTAAAAGTTAATATAGTTATTTAGAAACTAACACAATTAACATCCTTAAATAAAAAAAGTATAAAATTAATATCTTTATTTACACATTTTCTCATAATTTTCTAATAAAAAGAGTTCATTACCTCAGCACCTATCATATCAATGCTTACTAATTTATACTTTTTCCACTTGGCCTTGTGGATTGACTAATTTGTAAACAATTTTAAAAGTATACTTTTGTTAATATGATATTAGTTTAAATTTCCTTATCTCTTAAAATTTGTACTTGTTTAAAACAAAATTTTCATACATTCTTTGAAAAAAAAAATCAAATATTTAAATTCATGAAATGGCAAGTTCCCCTTTAATTGGACCAACCAGTAGAGTAATAGTACTATAATCCAAAAAATTGGCGAGAACCATAGAATGATAGACGTAGAAAATAACAAATTCCAGCCAGAAGATTATATTCATAGAACTACGTTGTTGTAGGTTTAGGAATTAGGCTAAAGTTGGATGTGTGAACAACTCCCTGATCTATCTACTCAATAATTTGAGTTATATATTTTAAATTATATAATATCTTTTAAATAAAAAAACTAAATGAATTAAAGAAATCATATGTTAGGATTTTTAAGAATTAAAATGTTAGAAATGATAAAAAACAAAAAAACTTAAGCCTTAATTTAGTAT